AGACTATCTGTCATTATGCAGGACGCAGCTCTATTTATTCAGAAAGAACATGCTGTCTTTGAAATGAGTCTGGACAGCATGTGCACAGCACATCCACCACTAATGAGATGCATCAGTCACACAAATGGACATTTTGACTTAGTGATGTATTGGAAGACCATTTCCAGTTCTGAATTAATTATCATGTATATCCTGAAAAGTAAATATCAGGATTGAGGTTATAAATCAAGATGTGAATTGACAGGCATCGTACTTCACTAGTGGCCACATTTTTCTATATTATCACCCATGCACTTAACTTTGCAACATTTGTGTGACAGACATGAACAGTACCTCAAACCATGTGCTATACCTTTCTTATTGATCAAACTGTGATTTTTTTGCCTGATGCATGAACAAATATGTGAAAAAATCCCTTTATAAATTATTTTAATAATAAAAAATTATGCAAATAATATATGTATAACTTACATACATAGCTTGTGCTCAACTTGTAGTAAAATAACAAACAAACAAAACAAATGAAATGAAATAAAAAATGACTAATGAAATGAAATAAAAATGGATAAAACTATATATATATTTTTAAAAACTACTAAAAATAACAAAAAACACAACAAAATTACCTGACTTTTGCACAAAAAACAAATTTTTATGAGAAAAAGTCAAAATCTCGTTAAGAAACATTTTCCTTTGGGGTTTAAACTATGGAGGACGAAACCTGCAAAAACAATAAATAAATAAATACACAAATAAGAAAATAAATGTGTGCATAAATACACGTATTCTTGTTTAAATACTGTAGCAAAGTTTGTAGTCATGGGAGGAAGGAGGCGGGAACCGGCGAACATTCAAAGAAACTTTAATAAAATAAACAAACCCAAAATAGCGTGACAGCCCCTGGCGGACGACTGTCGCGCACAAACAAAACCAAAACACAACATAAACTCCAGGCCTGGTCCTCTCTCGTCTTTCACTGTCGTCACTCCTCCTTTTTATCCTTCCAAGGGTCCTCCGTGAGACTCGAGACCGGTGAGTGGTGCAGGAGTCGCTCATTATCAATTACTCCACCGGCCTCGCTCCGTTCCCACGGCTCTCGGCCCCGCCCCTCTCGTCAAAAAAATACATAAATAAATAATTAAACATGTGACGAAGGCAAATAAATAAAATAAATTGGTGGGCAAATGGAAAATGTTTAAGGAAATGTTAAACTCATCCTAACTATTTTCCTTTGTTCACTCATTTAATTCTGAATGTAGTTCCAACTTTTTTTCCCCTCTGCGCAACATGCTAATGAGAGGGTGTCAATTATGCAAAAGTAGGCGGATCGTGTGTGACGTGCTTGAGCGTTTGCCTGCGCATGCATATTAACTTTTTCATAGGGTTAGTTTTGTAGTTATAATCATGAGAGAGCCAAATCATAAAAGATTTTAAGTGGCCAATGTAAAATATTAATGCTTACATAGCTCTTAATTGCAATACTGAACTGTTATTTGCTTAATAAACATACTTTTGTCAACTGTATTTTCTGTTCTGATAACTAATGGGAAAAAACTGTCTGTTCCTCGATTAAACCACTTCATACCAGTCATCTCACGATGACCATGGGATACCGATATTACAGTTGTCTCTCGCTGGAGACTCAGTCGGGTTACAAAAAAGGATGTCAGGAAACGATACTGGCCATTTCTTTGGGTCGTTTGTAAAGTCACAGATACTGTACGGACAATACAGCTCAGTTTCTTATGTATCTTGCTCTGTTAAACGGAAAAAAGTGACTTTACGTAGGCCACACTGGATTAACAACATGCATTTCCTGTCAGCGGGAAAGGATTGTTTTCCCCATGCAATGACATGACCCCCACCAAGTCCATGGTTGACACCCTCTCATTAGCATGTTGTGCCATTAGTGTGAGTTTGTAGAGTTGTGTGAACACTCACATGTTGTACCGGTAATATCCCGATGAATCCCTGACCGTCTTGACGGATTTCAGGTGATGTGCGTCCACACCGCCGTTCTCCTCTTTCCAGCACTGCTCATCTTCATCCTCAGAAAACGACACTCTTTTCTGGTATTTGGATCCTCTGCCTTTCATGGACATCCAGACAGCGGATGTGAGAGCTGCTCCGGGACTCCAGCGCTGCTCACTGCAGGTGATACTCTGACTCCAGCATCAGGATCGGCGTGTGTGTGTGTGTGTGTGTGTGTGGCGTGAGAGATGCCCCCAGCAGGAGACTGAGTGGAGAGCCCAGCAGCCCTGCCCACATCGAGAAGCCCTCATTATTAACAAGACAAGCAGAGCTCAGGGTATGTGTGCTAAATTATTTTTCACTACTAGAGAATGAAAATTTTCAAAGAGTTTAGAAAAATCTGACAAAAATGTAAAGTAAAAAGTCTATAATTTATAATGTTATACTTTATATAAAATAATACTAAATGCTTTCAGTAAAAATGTGTAATTTGCATACATTTTAAATATTTTATATCATAATATAATTTATATGACATTTATATAATATATTGTGTGTGTGTGTATATATATATATATATATATATATATATATA